CTCTAGGCCCAAAATGTCAGCCTTCCTGCTCCTCTGATGCTGCTTGGCCTGCTGTGTTCATCCAGCTGTACACTTTGTTATCCAAAAAAGAAGTAGACATAGTCTGTAGGACTAAAGGGTTCAAAGAACATGGGGAGAAAGGGGGAACAAGATACTGAGTTGGACGTTCAGCCGTGATTGTATTGAATGGCAGAGCACACTTGAAGGAGCTGACCTGCTCCCACATTTTATGTTTAACTTACTGTCAGGTTGAGCCTGATGGTTCACAATATACCATGATGTATTCAGATGTAAGGTAACTAACTATAAGCCATATGTAACAAACCATTTCCTGTTCATCAAGAACGAGTCCATTGACTTTGTGTGGACATCCTCCCTCACATATTGTCAGTAGCTTAGACCAGTACAAGCACAAAGGGTTGGAGGTAGTTAATCTACCCAAAGCCTCTCAACCCTAAGGTAATATTGTGATCAGCAGGGAGGATTTTACCTATGAGAATAAAATGCTTCCTTTATATGGAAGGCAGTCACTCTCTTCTCACCTCTGGAGTTCAGCTGTTTTGTCAATGTTTAGACAAGACAGTAAAGACACCCAGAACGGAGTGGTTCTGCTGAACTCAAACTGAGCGTCTCTGAACAGGTTATTGCTGAGCAAGTACTGTTTGATAGCATCTTTTTCCAATTCTAGACCTAGTTAATAAATACTGGCAACAGCCTCATCCACTGGTTCAAAATATGTTTGGTTGAAGTGTTGAAGTTTAAGTGTTGTGCCTGATCTATTTCAGGACTTAGGAAATGAATGTTAGTGTTACTGCAACCCCAAGTGTCTCCTGTACACAACATAACAGCCAACCAACTCACGACTGGTGCCACTGAGGTTTGAGAGTACATATATCATGTAATGTCATCAAGAGAAAATGAACCACGGATAATTGCATACTGTGTTCAACTGTATTTGCCTAGCTCTAACCAAGTATTTGAAGTGTTGTTTCAACATGCAAGTAGGTTACAAAATGATTACTCTTATCTGTACAGCACATTATTATACCTATTAGTGTACCTATCTTTTTGCACAGCTAGTGCCTGAGACATTCCCAACAGCTAGGATCCACTCTGAAAGTTGATGTTATGGACCACATTTTGATGAAATGACAAATTCCACAACAATTGCCGAAAACGAGTATTAACTTTCATAATAGTGTTTTGGTTGCAAGTGAGGAGAACACTGAGATTGGAATCTTTTCCTGTTTATTTATACAATTGTATTGCTATAGAGATTGGAAGGGCCTCATGGTTACAATCTGCAACTCCTGAACATTGGGAATCTAGCCACTCAATAAATGTCTTTGTCCTATCACGCTGTTACAAATTTTTGTGGTGAAGGGGATGAACTGGCTCATGCAAGCAAAAAAATGTTGATTAATTCCAAACACATTTACATAGCTAGGATGGCTAGGTTGGTTTGTTAGCATTGTCTGCATTATGTGTATAGAGTCATCCCTAACTATGAAAGCTAAGATCTGTGAAGGAGCTTTACTGCAGAGATGATTGGATCATGTGACGTAAGTCTGTCATGGTGTTTTACATAATTCTCTTGCACAGATGAAGTTCTAACCACCTCTCCTCATAGATTCTAGTATGGGGCTAGCAGTGGTTCAAAGACTTAAGTTTGTGCTCCCCTTTCTGTTCCTCCAGATAAAGAAGGATTCCCTTGGGGGAAGACATTACTGAATGATTGAAATTATTGAAGAAAAACAACAGTGTACACAACAACTTAGAATTTTCAGACTTGAAAAGGTGTATGAAAGGTGATCTTAAAAGTCTTCAAGATAGGCTAAGGATTGGAAAAGGAAAATTAAAATTATTGATTTACATTAAATTGTGAGCTTGTAATACAGATTGAATCTATTAAAAGATAAATTCAGGGCTAATAACACAATTTATTCTGCAAATAAAGACTGACAAATCTGTGGTTTAGGTCACCAAGACAAAAGCCTAAAATCCTAGAATAACACTTTGGACTGAATCTTATTTTTTTTTGGCTAGGTCTGAGTTGCACAAGTTTATCAAGGGTTTGTCAATGTGAGGCCTAGTGAGTTCTCTCACCATGTCTTACCAAGCTTGCCTTATTGATTGTCGACCATGCCACATAGAGTCCTTCATGAGTGATTTCTGTACAATCTATCCCTTACCATGTACCAGTTAACCGCAAATTTACCAGTATCGCTTGTGCCTGTACCATTTTTAAAAGCAGGCAGCAACTTGGAGTTCCTGCTGGACCGGGTGGTGCAGCCGTGGGACTTACTCCTCCCTCAAAACCAACAGTGGGGGCCATAACACCAACATGCCAGCCTGGCCTGAGGCTGTGACCCAGGTTAAAGCAGTCTGGAGGAATGCCCAGAGCTACAGGAAGGAAGTCAATGACCACTCCACCAGAATAAGTTCATGTTTTTCTCTCTGATACGCTCTATCTCTGCTACTGTACCCATCTCCCATCACAGCTAGTGCTCCACAACACTCGCAGCTACCTGCAACATCTTCCCGACGTGTTGTCACCCATCCCAACTCCCGGCACCACTAACACTGCATTTCCTCTGCATTGCCTACTCAGTCACTCGCCTACCTGCACCAACGGTGGTGCGCTCCCTCGCCTCCCACTTTCACATTCATTTCATTCTTTCATTTCACAAGAACAGCCCATAATAGGGCAGAAAGAGTCAAGTTGGGTGGTGTGATGCCTGTCATCTGGCTTCTCATCCCTTATGAGAATAGGATCCTGACTGACTGCCCTGAGCAGGAGCTGGACTATATCTGTCGCTTCCTTTGACCTACTGTGCCGGGAACCTGTGAACAAAGTCTATCCCCCTTGACTTGACTGAGGCCTACTGACAACAATGACAAGTTCCCTGGCTTTGCATCTGCATTAAATGACATAGCTAGACAGAAGTAATATGAGCCTCTGTTTGAGGGACGAAAGTGCAAAAAGGCAAGGCAATGCAAGACAGGAATGTTGTGAGCTTTCAGGGAGGTTCGAAGTGAATGGGCACTATGACAGCGAGCAAAGAATCCGGAGATGCAGTCAAGCCCAGTGCCTGAACTGGATGCATGTCACTGAGTGCAAAGTGTCACTGCTGCAGCATTACAATGATAGTTACAGGTTTAGTATTGAAGTGCAGAAACATTCTGAAGCGATCAGAAGTGTCCAGTGAGGGTTCTTAGAGGCTGACGCATGTCCGAAGCCTATGTCCACGGACATGACATGCAATTCGCTAGAGTCCATGGACCACACCCTGGGAATTTGATGCCTACTGTCCAATGTAGAGGTCATTTGGAGTAAGGGATAAGCTGAATCTGTTGGCTGCTCAATGTGGTTTCCTTATTAAGTTTCCTTGACTTGAGCTTGTTTAGCGTGTTTGATAAGATAGGAGGCTGAGTATTAATGAGGTGAATTTGGCCGTCAGCAAGTGTTTAGCAAGCAATAATGACCATCATTTGATAACTCACTGCTGCTTAGAGAAAATCCTGTCACTCCATTTGTGAAAAGCATGGAAGATGGTATGAGTTGCTCCTGATTTCAAAATGTGCCTTGTTGCCCAATTCATAGTCCATATCACTCAGACTCCTATGAGATACTGTGCTTAAATAATTTCAGGGGGTTTTCTGGATGGATAAGTTCGAATGTGCCAAGTTGTCTTCCGGAACCACAGCTCTCCCCTAAATTACAACAGAAACTCTTAAACTTAAGAGTTAACAGTAAAATCAGTGTTCCAGAAATGATCTTCCACCTAGAGTAAACAGGGAAACTCATTTTACGTGGGTTGTAATTTGCTTTTTGAAGAGAACTTTCTGCCTTGAATAAATTTCGTAGAATATACAGAACAAAAATAGATCATTCAACCCAACCATTCCACACCTGTATTTAGGCCTCAATCAAGCCATTTAAGTATCAGAAATGCATAAAGAAAGTGGAGATGCAGTCATAAGCCAAATATAAATAAAAGTTGAATTCTAACATAGGTTCTGATATATCACTACTTTACCAAGAATGCCTATGTCATGCTTTAAGTATTTATACATGGAAAAAATAAGACTTGTATTGCTTTTACATACTTAATTGAACTCAGTTACAAATCTGCTGATTCTTTTCAGGTGGTTGTGTTACTGCAATGTTCCTCAGTTCTGTGACAGTCTCCCATGGCATGAAACCACCCAGGTTTTTGGCAGGACATTGCTGCGCTCTGTTTTTACTGTCATGAGGCGCCAGTTACTGGAGAAATCCAGGCAGGAGAAAGATAAGCTACCATTAGAAAAGCAAACATTGATCCTTACCCATTTTCCAAAGTAAGTACTTAAAACACCTACACTCTAACGCTTTGAATGTTCTTTTTATGTTGTTTCTCTGTATCTGAATCAGAAAATAAACTAAAGCTCTTATTAAACGTTTTGTCCCATTTAAATGATTGCATTAAGAAAAGGTATAATTTCAGCTTGGACATGAGGCAAGTCCTGGCATCACTAATTTAGATAGTTTGCAATTTTATAAACATAAAATGCAAAGAAGGAATTTATAGTGCATTGTCCTTGGCCTTAGGATGAGCCAATGTATGTCATTGGTAATGAAATGTGGTCTGAAATGTAATCGTTGTAAAAAATGAAAGAACATGGCCTTAACATTTCTGCACTTTGTAGGATTTAAATAAATCTTAATTTAAACATTGCTAAAATCTTACAATTATCAGGATTAAGTTGCAAGAAAACAGACTTGGGAATGGAACACCAATTTACACCGCAAAAAGAGGGTGCTGATTGGCAGGGCCATCATCACAGTAAAATTTTGATACGTACAAGTTTACATATGAGAAAATGGCTAGGATGCTATTCACAAGGTTGCTAGTAAAATTGGGTCTTGCAGCATGGGAAATGGTAGAAATCCCAACGTGTACACGATCAGCGAACATTTCTTTCAGTAGATTGTAGTAGAGAATGCATTGGCAGATTTCTCAACTAATACATGGAGGAAAGGAAGGTTGTTTAATTTCTCTTTTAGGCACATTTTGCGAAAATGGTAAATTTGAGCACAGGATGACCTTTACTAAGCTAAGAAATTCTTTCACAGATAGTAAGAACTGCTGATGCTGGAGTCAGATAACACAGTGTGGAGCTAGAGGAACACACCAGGCCAGGCAGCATCAGAAGAGCAGGAATGTTGACATTTCAGGTCAGGACCCTTCTTCAGAAATGGTCCCGACCCGAAACGTCAACTTTCCTGCTCCTCTGATGCTGCCTGGCCTGGTATGTTCCTCCAGCTCCACACTGTTATCTAAGAAATTCTTTGATGCAGCTGTATATTCAAATGTCAAAAATGTGTTATCTACATACTAAAAGTATGCAGGAGGTAGGAACTTAATGGTTATTCCATTGAAGACACCAGTCCCTTTTCTGGGGCTTACATATATGTTTATTAAATTTTGGCTTCAGATCACACAATGCCACCAGACAGTTGCATTGCAGATGTAGATCTATTAACTTATTAGAAGTACCACAACATGCATGTACTAGACTTAATTTGGCATGGAGGTAAGATTTGGGGCAGAACTCATTTCATCTGGGCACATTTTAACCAGTGGGGTAGCTCATTTTTAGACCACTCAAAGAGATAAGATTAGCATGAAAGTACAAGTCACCATAGTCATAGACTAATAAACTTCTCTCATTAGAGAGAGACAACTGGTAATGAATTTAACGTGAGGGTCATCACACCTCTGGTGAGAACTTGGGGCTTTCAAGGTGATCTTAGCCAGTATAGGAATTAAATCTGTCCTGTTCTGATATTAGAAGAGGATTTGAGATGAACTGGGGTTAGTGGGAGTTGGTAATAAAGGATGGGAACTGGTTCAGAGAATATTGCATCTGGAAGTTATAAAGACGCATAGACAGAGACCATCATTCCAAAGATTTTAGATGATGCATATGCTTGGTAATGTGTTAAACAATGAGGAGAATAGGAGCAGTTTTCAGGAGGGGACAGACTGATGAAATGAGTAAATAGATGCATGTCGATGAAATCTAGTGCAGAGAAGTGTGAAATGATACATAGGAGAACTGGCAGGAGATTGTATCATTTAGTTTATACTACTTAAACAGAATACAGGAACAAGGAGACCTGAGAGGTTCAATCATTTTTAAAAAGTTCTTAGATATTAAAAAAAACTATTAATGTTATAAATGTCTCCAAATAGAAAGTTACTACAGTTTGCACAAAAAGTAGTAATGCATTTTTTTTTAATGTTATAGATTCCTTTCTATGTTAGAGGAAGAAGTGTACAGCCACAACTCTCCTATATGGGATTTAGACTTCATGGTGTCCTCTGGTAACATCCAACTAGGAATACAACAAGGTCAGCAACATTTGAATTCTGAAACAGGGTGGGGAAACTGATATAAAGTTACCAAAAAAGGAATATTAAACTTTCAGAAAATGTTTTTTTTAAGCTCTGGCTTTCCTATAGTGTTTTCTACAACAAATGTAAATAAGTTATACAAGTATTAAACGCATTATGATAACACCTCAGCTAAAATTAATATATTCAGTTATTAAATAAGTATTGTTACATTATTTTGACTTATTTATGTGTTTTGGAATGTTAGTTGTCAACTCTCCTGCAGTTCCTGGGATTCTGCCAAACACAAAGCCATTTGGGTATGGATCGAACCCAGCTTCTGGCAACATTGATCAGACCAATATTGGAAGTTTGAGTCCTGTCTGGAAGAACAAAACGGCTCCAGGCTCAGAGCAAATATTAGGTATGACAAACAGTTAAATCTTAAAAATTGAGAGGTTATTGCTGAAGCTTGGAAAAAGCTTTTAGTAATACAGACCCTATTGAACCACATCCTTCCTGAAAGCAAACTTCGAAATTTTGTACGAATCACTGTAGAACTTCTTGTGAGTATTACCCATTTAGATGTTACTAAAACCAATACTCAGCCAATAATTTATTGCATTTGATGTTTTAACTCATTAAAGCTACGTTCCTGTATCAATTGTCTAATTGTGCTTTCTGTCCTGAAAAAGGATCAAACGCAATCTTAGCTTCTGTCACTGTTATTACCTTCTAGGCATGGCCGGATCATCACCTCATATTGCCACAAAGTGGTCGAACTTGGGTTTGATCCCAGGTTTGAGTCCGTATTTTGATATGATGCAATGTTCCTTCTTTATATGCCAATAATTTACATATTTGGAGCACACATTATTTTCAAGGCATGTTGTAAATCTGGCTGTTCAACAACTGTGCAAGGTCTGAGTTTGATTTATCTGTTGTATTTAGCTGCCAGCCTCAGCTGTGCTAATATCAGAGGGATTATTAGGAAATACCCACATTGGAGCTGCTGTTTTATGCAAACCCAGAATTCAGCACTAAAATGGCATTATGTTGCTTCAGGAGCAGGTCACCACCAGCCATTTTAGATCGTGAAGAGAAAATGGATATTCATATCACCACAAGGAAGATTACAGTGTTCAGCACTTTGGTTAGTTGTTTGCTCTTTCAGCTTTTCCCATGTTACATGGAGTCACCACAATGCTGGTTGATCACTCCTTCATATCAACAGTCAATTCTTTGGTTTTGATGGGTGATTTTACAGCTGGAAGTCTTTCCTGATTCTTCTCCGATTTCTCTGGCTGGAAACCGATGCCAGTACATGCACCACCAGCTGAGTTTCAATATTCAGCATTCTAATTGTGTGTTAATAGTCGGGTCATTTGTCATTAAATTTGTTTTGTCAGTTTCTCTTTATTTCAAAATGTTAAAAGGCTTATTATTGAACCAGATGGAATTTGTGACAGAATTGTTATGTTTCGTTAGGAGAGAAAAGAAAACCTACAGAACCATTTAATATGGAAGATGCTAAGAGACAAAGAGTTTTGGGAGATATCCCTATGGAGCTAGTGAATGAAGTAATGTCAACTATCACAGATACAGCTGCTATGTTGGGTCCAGAGGTAAGTATACCACATCATATTTTGTATTGAAGTTTACTTGCTGGGAACCACATTGAGCAAAGTTCAGTTTTGTTACTGGAAGTTATTTTTGTCAGTTTTAAATAAAGAAAATAGTTAAATCCGTTATCCCTTTATTCAGATTTCTCCTTCAGCTTTTATAAGATCACTCTGTCTTCCACTTCCTTCATTTTTCTTCCCCCTACCAAAGAAGTTTTGATGTCAAGGTTTTGATGAATATGAGATTTCAACATAAAAATGAAAGGCTTATATTTTTCTATGTAGTTTTATTACAATACAGTTGAGAAATATTCTGTAATCCCAAACTAAGGTTTCTCATTTTGCTTTCAATATTTCAATGAAGGTGAATAAATTGGTTTCCAGGTGTTAAGAATTAACCTAATAGCTCATTGAGAAGCATTTATTCAAAATCGTTTACTTGTCAAAATGAGCAAACTGTTGAAATGCAATTTCTACGTTATATTTTATCAAAAATAGGGAAGTTAATTAAGAATTAAGTCTCGAGTTTAGGATAGATGAATACATTATCTATAACATAAAGTTCCTGATTTAGTTATAACTTCCTCTTCTTTCCATGTATGGTATTTTGAAATGATGTTTTAGTATTTCACACTTTTCGCATGCTGAGAAGGTTAAACTTTTTGCTTTCATTGTCAGATTGATATATGTTGCTCAGATATTCAAGATACTAATTGCAATTTGATTAAAGTGTACAAGATGCAATAGAAAATTGTTATTTATCTTGTCCTTTACAAGACCAGCTTACTATCAGCACATGCAGCCAGAGATGAAGCCGCTAGGCTTGAAGAAAGAAGGGGTGTAATCGAGTTCCACGTTGTGGGAAACTCACTCAGTCAAAAACCAAACAAGAAAATGATGATGTGGTTAGTTGGATTACAGAATGTGTTCTCCCATCAGTTACCCAGAATGCCCAAGGAATACATCACTCGGCTTGTTTTTGATCCGTGAGTACATGTTTTATGACTGCTGCTAATGTAAAAATAATATCTCAGTTTGGTCAATTTCTCATATTGGTTTGTTAATTGAACCGAAAAACATTTGTTTATCATGTGATAAGGCTCAAATCTTTAAACTTAATGAGGAATAAATTAATCTTGTGTGTATACTGGATGACAGGGAATGTTAATCCATTTTACATCTTAATTTCTTTTCCATTGATATCCAAGATCTGTATCATTCCATTAAACTGATTTTTATGTATATTTTTTAAAAAGTGCTACATTTCAATTAATGATAATAGTAATAAGTTCAGTAGAATAGAGTTTGTCCTCTTTTAATTAGTTTTGAAGGTTGAGTGGATCCTATTTTAGTCTCTGACTTGTTCTGTAGTAATCCACTCGTTGTAGCAGAAAACAAGCTAGCAGTGTGCAGCATGATTCAGGACAGAAGTTAACTTTTTAGATCCGATTTCATAGCAGATCAAAAGATCATGGGTTTCTCTTTTTCAGTGCTGTTTGATGATAACTTATCCATCCTTGAACTGTATAGTGACGTTTGAAGAATAAAAACAGAATGGCATACATAATAGGATTATAGTGAACTAAAGATGATTTAACATTAATGTCTGATGTGTAGTAAATACAACAGTCTGAATGGTATGATGTGTTCATCCTCTTGATTCATGACATATTATATAGAACTAAATAAACTAAACCGGACAGAACTAAAAAAAAATTGGAAACTTCTGTTTACTTCAGCTGAAAATATGCAGTTTGCTTTAATCAGTAGCAAGGTCAGTTTATCTGAATTTCAGCTTAGTTCACAAGCAAAGTAAGCATTCTAAACATCTCAGGAACTATTTATTATGATAGGTGCTACTGAGTTTCACATTAAATAAACATACTTTGGGACAGCATACTTGAAGGTTTGCCATCTGAACCCTATGTGCATCACTGAAGGTAACACATGATCTCCTTTGATCAGCATCTAGACCTTCAGAAATTAATATCGGTCATTTACCATGAGAAACATTTGCAAAGCTTAAATAGAGGCTACTAAAAGATTAGTTAAATTTGACGTCATTTTGTTTAACTTTATCGTAGTAAACACAAGACCCTTGCTTTGATCAAAGATGGCCGTGTGATTGGTGGTATTTGTTTCCGGATGTTTCCGACACAAGGCTTTACAGAGATTGTATTTTGTGCTGTAACCTCTAATGAACAAGTGAAGGTAAGCATGAATTTAAAGGGTAATTACTAACCTGTATTCATCAGCATATATTTATTTAAAATCTAATTGTGTTGACGTTTAAGTTAATTAAAGATTATGGTGGTAATAAATCCTGGAAGTCCCTTCCAAACAGCATTGCAGATATACGTATCACCCCACAGATTGCAGCAGTTTAAGAAGGTGACTCACAAGCACCTTCTTGAGAGCAGTCTGGAATGGACCATATAGGCTGCCAGCCAGCAGTGCCAATATCCCTTGAACAAATAAAGAAAAAACAGAGATAGATCACATAGTTTAGATGTTTTTGGAGCAGTATTCATAAAAAACTTGATATAACATTCTGTCAGGAATTTTCAGCCAGAAAGCCAAGATCATTCACCAAAGTTTGCTTGTGTAGGCTTACCTGCGTATCAGCAAATACTGAGTGATCTCTCCTGTTTCTACCCTGTTATGATGCCAACTGATGGTACTACAGGGCAAGTAAAGATTTTGATAGATTCTGTTTAGTTTTGTTAGTTGTGTCACTTTCGTCAACTTCCCTCCATGATCTCTAGAGAGTTATCTTGTACAGTTCTCTGCTGCTTATCTCACTACGTTTGCACAACACCTCTCCGGTACCACACTATCATGTGCATAGCAGTGGTGAACTTACTTGACACTGCCAGAAACTTAGGAGATTTGTGCTGTCTGTACCATGTTTAAAGCCCAGCTTGCACCAGGTCAAACACTGTTAGCCAGAAATAGCCCTTGACAGTCCACATAGTGGGAGGGAAATGAGAAGGAAACACGTCTGAGTGCCCATTGGTGATGCAAGTGACAGTTCATTGAAAAAAAATCACATTTGTACAAATATTGCCACTTTATATCATCCCCTGTCTAATCAACTATATTCGTAATTGCAGTTACACAGACTACCCGTCATTAATGGCATATCATGTTAGAACCCTTTCTGAAGGAGCTCTACTCTTTACCTAATGCCTAATTGTTGAATCTAGTTCACTGTCCTGTACTAGCTTGGCAAACAACAACTAACTAAACACAAAAGCTAGTTTTATCCGTTAAGCTACCCGTGATGCTGCAAATAAAGATGCAAACCATTGATACCCAGCAGTGTTGAATTTATGAGTCACAGTCTTCACTGTCGAACCCTGTTATAACTGAAACCCCTTGAAAGATAAATTATGGGCTTATTAAGTATTTCTCCTGTAAAGATTATTGAGATATGCTACTGTAAGTAAGCAGTAGTATAGTATGTTTTTTGTTAATTAAAATTATCAATGGAAAAATGACCAATAGTCAAATGCTTGTTCTTCAGGGCTACGGAACCCATCTAATGAATCATCTAAAAGAATATCACATCAAACACAACATTCTGAACTTCCTCACTTATGCAGATGAATATGCAATCGGCTACTTCAAAAAGCAGGTATGTTATTTGTGGCCTTGATGTCTAAGCTCTTCAAACAGTTGTATATTGCAGTAGAAAAGTTCATGCATAGTTACTGACGAGAAATCTAAATAAAGTGTTTTAACAAGACATTCTAATTTTCATACAATGTAACAATTTACTCTTAGATCTTTTAGATTCACTGCACCATGAATAAAACTGCAGCTGTAGAAAAATCTGGAACGTAACGTACTGTCCCAATCCCACAGGGATTTTTTAAAATCTGCCTTTGTATTTCCTGGGCTTTTAAAGGTAGTAAATAATTGGGATCCTCATTGTTGCATGAAGAATTGTTATTGTGAGTCTCAGTGAAATAGAAATGATCCCCTGGCAGTCCACAAGAATACTGTTGGCTGCTGCCAACCAGGGCTTTTCATAACATGATCCTCTGCCTTTCCACACATGCTCCACATCGCCCACCCAGCCCCATCCCTCCATGTCCAGCACCCGTAGACTCTACATCAGTTTTCTGCAGTCATATCTTCACCCATTTCATCAGCTTGTAATCCACTTCACGTGATATTGCACCAGCCTGAAGCAAGTCAACTGCAGCAGGAGATCCATACAGAGCAGTTAATTTACCAGTGGCATATTAATGTAGTCTACCTCTAATACATTGGATCTCCTGCTAGCAAGAACAACTGGTCAAACTGCAGCGTGCATATTCCAATGCCTGAAGTTAATGTCCATTCCTAGATCTTGCGTTTTAAATTTTGTACTTCACTAAAATATAAATTATCATAACACATCTACACTGGAATTTCCATGGACTATGGGGAAAAACTAAAATAAAAGTGGCATTTAAAAATTTATGGTGTTTTCCACAGTTGTCAAGATATTCTGGCTATTGAGCAGGACCCCTCGGGAAGTTTATACCTGGGAATCTCAAAGAACAGGAAAACATACGGTGTATCCAGTTCAGATGAGAAATTCAGGGACTTGGAGACAGTAAGGACTGCAGATGCTGGAAGCTAGAGTCAATAAATGTGGAGCTGGAAAAGCACAGCCGGTCAGACAGCATCCAAGGAGCAGGAAAGTCAACATTTCGGTCCGAAACCCTTCATCAGCACAGGGAAATTCAGGGATTTTGATGTATTTATTGCAAAAGAAAATTCAAGCATAACTGTCTCACCTTTTTTAAATTTATTCATGGGGTGTGGTCATCATTAAACTCTTAATTTCAGATTTTTTTGAATTTAGATTCCACCATCTGCTGTGGTGGGTTTCAAACCTGGGTACCCAGAACACTAGCTGAGTTTCTGATTAACAACTCAGTGATAATACCACTGGGCCATCGCCTCCTCCGCCTAATCAAGAATAATAGTTTTATTGCTTATTACATGCTATCAAGTTTAGAATGTCTTGCATATCTAAATATTATAAATTCACTGTCTTCATAATGAAGTGAAAATTACATTCTAATTTCGAAGAGTAATTTTTCTAAATTGATTAATTGCATTATACTGCACACAAATTGGATCATACACCATTCACAATCATATGGACCTAAACGTAGCCTCTGTAATAGTGTTTAACTGCAGTTGCAAATACCAGTATGTCTTACTCTCTCTCAAAGTTTGTAAATTATTTGCCACTTGAAAAATGTTTAAATCCGAAACGATTTAATTAAATAACTGGACGTAAAAATCCAATCAATTTATTTGTTTTACAAATCTGAGAGATTAGTATTTGCTATTAAATTGTTATACAGTGCACCAATTTTGTCAACAAGCTCAGAAAAATGTTTCTGGGGCAGCTACCGCTAGGACACAGTGGTGAAAGACCACTGCTCAAGATCTTTCTGCCAAAGTACAATCAGGATCCGTTCAGTTATCAGACCCTCTCGGTGCCTCAAATGTATGTAAATATTGTCCTGCGTAAGTAAGGAATGCCTTGGGTTTATTGCAACTGCAGGGAATGCCAAATTTCTACGTTTATTTGGTCTTCATATGCAAAGACTACAGAACTGCTTCAGTAACTGTGTATGAACATAAAGATTTTTTTATGTATATAGTATATTTTTGCAAATAAAAAAAACAAAAGTTTTAAGTTATTACAAAGTAGTTCTCATCATATTGACTTTGAGAACATTGACATTTGTTCTGTTATTTTCTGATATTCTGTATTATTTCAGGGATTCTCTAAGGATATAAAAGTTCCAAAAGTCAAGTATGTTGGTTACATTAAAGACTACGAAGGTGCCACTCTGATGGGCTGTGAATTGAATCCACGGATTCCATACACTGAATTCTCAGTGATCATAAAGAAACAGAAAGAGGTACTAAGTGCCTTTTTTTGCTGATATTTTACTTCTGATTAGTTAAAAAATAGAGTGCAATTTTCAATTTGCAGTTAAAGTTTTTTGTGGTGTGACATTCATGGTGCCCGATCTGCAATGGCCCAGAGGGACTTTCCTTTTGCCATCTTCCGCTCATCACCTTGTTAATTATATAGTTGAGTTCTTTGGCACCTTTCTTGAGGAATTGTGGCTGGAGAGGTCCATGTGCCCATCATTGCCAGGACCTTCCAACATTCTCACCTCTGGCACCTCATTTGAAGCCCAGCTGCACCCCACTTTAGATGCTGCCAGCCAAGAACTTGCCGTTACACTGTGGTGCTCGACCATTATTACGGAGCACACGTCCAAAAGGAAATAAAATATTGCTCCCCACTTCGGGGACAGGAACCTGGAGGAGTTGCTATACAGGGTGGTGAGAAGGAAAACAAATTTTCTCTAGCCAACCACCAAAAGAATCAATGGCACCTGACCAAGCCAGCCTGGACTGAAATTATAAACTAGTCAGTGCTGTGGTTGGGTGAAAAGAAGCATTCAGCAGTGTGAAGAAAGGTCAGTGATCTTCTGTACTCTATAAAGATATGTGCCACCATCTTATCTCTGCTACCTCACATTCACAGGGTTGGCAGTCACTCGTTGCCATTGCACACTCATCTGATCAAGGCTGGTTGGCTGCAACTCCCACTGTTGCATGTATGATTTCCACTCAGTGGCTCTCACCTTCTTGATCCTCCCAAACTCCTAATCCTTCTTGCTCTCTGCACTTTCTACTCACTCACAGGGGACATCTCAAAACCTCTCCTGCTCATGCATGACCATAACTCTTCTGTCCTTTCCATCATCTCAGTTCCTCCCTCTATCTCTGTGGAGATGGAGATATTGGTCTTTGATCTTTCAGGAATCGCTGTAATCAGGAAGGGTCACAGAGGATTGGAAAATGGCTATTTAACACCCCTGTTTACAAAGGGAAGGAGGCAGAAGACAGGAAATTTAGAGCCGTTAGCCTGACCTCAGTTGTTGGTGAGATTTTAGATTCCATTATTGAGGATAAGATTACTGAATACTTGGAAGTGCATAATAAAATGGCCTGAGTCTGGATGGTTTAGTGAAGGAGAGACCATACTAAATAAATATGTTAGAATTATTTCGGGAGGTAACGAGCAAGTTAGACAAAGGAGACCCTGTGGAGGTGGTCTGTTTGGATTTCCAGAAGGCCTTTGACAAGGTCCTACATAGGAGGCTGCTAAATAAGAGCCCATGGTGTTAGGAGCAAGGTACTGGCGGCGATAGAGGATTGGCTGACTGGCAGAAAGCAGAGATTAGGGATAAGAGGGTTATTTTTCACGATGGCAGCAAGTGACTAGTGGAGTTCTGCAGGAGTCAGAGTTGGGACTATAACTATTCATGTTATACATGAACCATTTGGATGAAGGAACTGAGGGCATTGTTGCTAGGTTTGCAGGTGACCTAACGATAGGTGGAGAGACAGGTAGTGTTCAGGAAGTGTAGAGGCTGCAGAAGGACTTGTACAGGTTAGGAAAGTGGGCAAAGAAGTGGCAGATGGAATACAATGTGGGAAAGTGTGAAGTTTTGCACTTTGGTAGGAAGAATAGAGGTGTGCACTATTTTCTAAATGGGGAAAGGCTTTAGAAATCAGAAGCACGAAGGGACTTAATAGAAACCTGAACTAGGACCCGTAATGTTAACATGTAGATTCAGTTGGCAATTAAGAAGACAAATGCAATGTTAGCATTGATTTTGAGAAGGCTAGAATACAAAAGCAGAGTCGTACTGCTGAGGCTGTATTAGACGCTGGGGGTCAGGCTGCATTTGGAATATTGTGAGCAGTTTGTGGCGCTGTATCAATGACGGCATTGGAGGGGATCCAGAGGAGGTTTACAAAAATGATCCCGGGAAGGAAGGGATATGAGGAACGGTTGAGGATGCTGGGTCTATACTCAATGGAGTTTAGAATCATGAGGGGATCAGATTGAAACTTACAGAAAACTGAGAGGCCCGAGCACACGGCCTCAGTGAAGAGATGACATTTTAGAACTGAGATGAAGAGGAATTTCTTCAGATAGTTAATCCGTGGAACTCTTTGCTGCAGAAGGCTGTGGAGGCTGACCCATTGAGTGTATTTAAGACAGAAATCGAAAGATTCTTGATTAGTAAGGGATCAAAGGTTCCAGAGAAAAGGCAGAGGAAGGGGTTGAGAAACATATCAGCCATGATTGAATGGTAGAACAGACTCGATGAGCTGAATGGCCTCATTCTGGTCCTATATCACATGCTCTCTTGATCTAAATGTAGGATAATTTGGTCCAAAATCAATAGGGGACAGCAGACGTCAGACTCCTTACAACCTACAAGGAGAAAATATTTGATCTAGCCAGAGGAGAATAAAGCTACGATGTGGTGATAGAGAGATCTCAATGGGCAACCAACCCAGTAAGCGGCATTGTGCCAAGTGTTCTTCACTTCCCAGCAAAATCTGTGCAAAACTTTTATCGGTATTCCCCCTTTATGCCGGTGCTAATGGCATCAGAAAGAGGTCAGTACTGGAGATTCTCAACTTCACCTCCATCTCTGAGGAGGAAGCCATCAACCCTTGAAGGTTTTCGCCTTCGCCATCCACCAACTCGAGACTTTCACCTCAGTGGGCAGTGTTTCTAGATTAGACCTGGAAGCATGATCCAATGAGCATATCACTCAAATATCTCGGCAGCCAACTCAAGAAGAAACATCCCAGGACTCATAGAGGATTGCGTGAGACCAGGCAGCAATTCAGATCCAGACAGATGATGAGCCTCTGTTTGCACTGATGTCCTGAGCACTCCCATCATTGAAGATAGAGATAATTGTGGAGCCTTTCTCTTCCAGTGAGTTGTTTAATTGTCCACCACCATTCACAATTGGATGTGGTAGGACTGCAGAGCTTAGCTCTGGTACGTTGGTTGTGGTGTCACATAAGTCTGTCTATCGCTTGCTGCTTGAGCAGTTTGGCAAACAAGTAGTCCTGTTTGGTAACTTCACCAGGTTGACATCTCATTTTTAGATATAGTTGGTGCTGCTCCTGGCATGCTGTTCTACACTCTGCATTGAACCAGGGTTGATTCCCTGGCTTGCTGCACATGGTGGAGTGGGGCTATGCTGGATCATGGGGCTACATTTGCGTTGGAGTATAATTCTGCTGCTACAGTTGCTGACAGCTGTTATGGATGCCGAGTCATGACTTGCTAGATCTGTTCAGTCTGTCCCATTTAGCACAGTGCTAGAGCCACACAGCATGATGTAAGGTACTCTCGGTGTAAAGGGAGAACTTCAGCTCCACCATCCGTGTGGTGGTCACTCTTACCAGTATGGTCGAGGACCGATGTATCTGGAGTAGACATGTTGGTAAGAATGAGGTCAAGTATGTTTTTCCCTCTTAGTTCATTCACTAGCTGCCACAGACCCAATCGAGCAGCTATGTCCTTTAGGACTTGACCAGTTCAATCAGTACTGCTGAGCCACTCTTGGTGAATGACATTGAAATCCCCCACCCAGAGTACATTTTGCATCCTTGCCAACCTCCGTGCAGTGTTAATATAGATTTCAGATCAGGGCTGGAGTGTGTTGCAGAGGTTGGTAATCATGGCCACTGCTAAAGGGAGGCTGTTGGCAGCAGAAGAGAGTCCAAAGATTTGCTGGATGGGCCAACAGAACACTCCTGAACCCCACCTATGAGTGCTATAAAAAGCATTCAGCTTCCGCAAGCAGCAGCGTCCGCCTCTGTTTTTGATTTCATGATCACTTGGAAACCATGGGAGTCCAATGTAAATATAATGAAATGCCCTGCTCTCTTAATGATGGCAAAAAGTGTACACATGTTGGTATGGGGAATATTTGAGTTTAAGATTCTTGCTCCTGTTGTCAGGTGAACATCAAGGTTCTCATTTCTCTCACCAAGAATGACCCTATTCTTCCTGCGACTTTAAATCCCCTTTATCATTCTTTCATCGTCCAACTGGACAGCATCTCTTATTTCTGCTGAACACTCTGCTCTCAAATTCAAACCCAACAGTATCAATCATCTTTTCTTTAGCAGAGATATGGATGAGATGAATGGAAGGAAATATGTGCTGTTCAAGTTTTTTTGGAATCAGCGCAGGGGTTCTCTGCTCATGCTGTCCTGTTTCACTGCATGTTCCCTAAATTTTGTGTTTAGTCCAGAGACTTTGCAGCATTTTAATTTACGCACATGCTAATTTTTTTCTTTACCTCACTGTGATGATATTTCATCGGGTCCCAGCTTCTCTAAGCAGGAAGCAGGTAATTTAATCTATTAATTTTCTCTCTGTGATCAGTATTTCTGTTTCTCTTACCCTGGCTCCTACTTTTTTTTATCTTTTTGCCACCTTACAACAGGCTCATTTGTATTTTATTTTCAATTTTGAAGAAAGGCAACACCATTATTATTGTATTATAAAAGGCAGAGAAATTCAGCAGTAATAAAAAACAAAGAACTGCAGATGCTGGAAATCTAAAACAAAACAGAAATTGTTGGAGAAACTCAGCAGGCCTGGTGGAATTGGTGGAGAGGGAAGCAGAGTTAGTGCTTCAAGTTAGAATGGGAATAATAATCATGATATCAATAATATTCAGAATCAGAACCCCTAGTAATGACTTAGAGATAGTAAGAACTGCCAATGCTGGAGTCAGAGATAACACAGTGTGGAGCTGGAGGAACACAGCAGGCAAGGCAGCATTTCTGAAGAAGGGTCCCAACCTGAAACGTCAGCTTTCCTGCTCCTCTGATGCTGCCTGGCCCGCTGTGTTCCTCCAGCTCCACACTGTGTTATCCCTAATATTGACTTGCCTTTTCTAGATTTTGATGGACCTGGTGTGTTCTAGCACTTCCTCTTTTATAATGCCATAACTATTTTCCTAGTATCCAATTTTTGGTCCATGGGGTACTGTAAATAAAGAAGTTGTTTAATTTATTTCTTGTTCCTAATTATAATGCTTTTTTTTTTAAGATTATAAAAAAGTTGATAGAAAGAAAACAAGCACAGATTCGAAAGGTGTACCCAGGACTCTCCTGCTTTAAAGAAGGAGTGCGACAAATTCCTATTGAAAGTATACCTGGAATAAGTAAGCAACCTAATGCAGGTTTGAAGTATTTACACTAATATTTATAAAAATTCCCCTTATGTTACCTATGCTAGTATTCAAAATGTCATGTGAGATGAATGGACTAGAGCTGAAAGACTGATTTAATTTATCTACAGGGGAATCAGGTTGGAAATCTAGTGGAAAAGAAAGAGGGTAAGTCTGTTTTGAAAAAATTGGTGTAACTGTACAGGAGAATGGTTTTTATGTAGATTGTGCAAAAGCAGGATCATTTTAAGACGTGTTTGAATTTACTAAATGGATTTAAGATCAGATAAACAGTGAATGAACGAAATTTACCTCCAGTTGACCACCATAAAGAACAAAGCTGAAGTTTTGGTGCTCTGCATAAATTCTGTTCCTTTCCAGTAATCTGTTCTCTCAGCCATTCAGTTGAACCAAATTATATGAAACCTTGGTGCTCAGTTTAACCCACAATTGACCTTCAAGCCTTATATTCAGGATGATCCATCCTTACGGATGGTTGGGTTCAGAGAATCCTTTTGAACCTTGTGTTTCCCTCACAAGCTCCCCATAGTGAAAACGTTGGTTGATGGTTGGTAGAAGTGGTGGCAGTTTGTTGGCTGAAACAGTTGTCTCTTCCGATCTGTCATTCTCTCTGTGGCTGCTCCTATTCATAGAGCAATAGAATCCCTACAGTGCAGAAAGAGGCCGTACAGCCCATTGAGTCTGCAATGACCATTTGAAGAACATCCTCCCCTCCAAACTATCTCTATAATCCTGCAAAAGATATTTGGACAAGTGCATGAAGGGTTTGAAGGGATTTGAGCCAAACGCAGGCAAGTGGGACTAGTTTAGTTTGGAAACATGGTTAGCTTGGACTAGTTGGATGGAAGGGTCTGTTTCCATGCTGTCTGACTCTCTGACTGTATGGCTAATCCACCTAGCCTGCACGTCCCTGGACAGTACGGGGCAATTTAGCATGGCCAATCTACCTAACCTGCACATAGAGTCATACAGCACTGAAACAGACCTTTTGGTCCAACAAGTCCATGCCGAACATTATCCCAAACTAAACTAGCCCCACCTGCTTGCTCCTGGCCCATATCCCTCCAAATCTTTGATAATAAGGTGTAGAGCTGGATGAACACAGCAGGCCAAGTAGCATCAGAGGAGCAGGAAAGCTGACGTTTCGGGTCC